CACCACAGCTAGGAAGAGAGCATGCAGTTCAGCCCATCGAGCTGACCTGTTATTACCTTCTTCAATCAGAGTCTTTCCATCTGCTGGTCTTTATGTACAGCTTTCCACATCACATGTTGCCCATGTATCCTGGAGTTGCCATCCATGAACGAAGCAGCCTTCTGCTGGTCAGCAGAAAGTTGTTCATAAGTCACTATCCATGTAGCAATGGGCTCTGGCAGTGTCTCATGTGGTTCCAGGGTAGGACCTATGGGAAAAGAGGCTACCAGCTTGTGGATACAGTGAGTGTCTCCCTGCATTCCCCCCAGTAGCTTGTTCTTGTATGAACCATTTCCATTATATTTTGGAACTATTTTGGGCACTGCCTTCCTTATTAGGGTGTTTCACTGACATCACCCAAAACATTATGGGTATTTCAGGTCTCATGCTGATTTTATGCCCTTTCGTCATTGAAGCAGTCTTAATCAACGTCCAATAGCAGATAATTGCCTTTAAAATGGTGCGTATCATGCTGCAGAGTCTGGAAATTTTCTAGTCTGTAATCCCAGTGGTCGCTGTAGGCTGGCATTCTTAGGTTTTTGCCATAAGCTCCAGTCTGCATAAGCACGTACGGCAGACACCTCCAAAATTATGTCTGAATGTGAATCATAAGGGCCTAAAGGCAGGGAGAGTGAGACCACTTTCTCTAATTCAGACATAGCCTGCTGTTGCTCTGGCCCCCATCTGAGTGGTTTTATGGATGGGGGACAGCAATAGTCCCAGATGTGGAATATGCGGGCTCCAAAATCCAAATAAACCAACCTAATATTGGCCTCCTGCTAAGTCTTGGGGGTAGGTAGCGACAACTTTATTCTTGGTTGCCTGTGGAATGTGGCTCCTACCGAAGTTATTCCCACGAATTTCACCATTTGGGCAGGGCCCTAGATTTTTGCTGGATTTATTAACCAGTCTCTGTTGGTCATGTGGGCCACCACTGTATTCAAATCAGCCCTAGCCTGTTCTTTGGAGTTTGATATTAACATAATATCATCAATATAATGGATCATTACACTTGAGATCTGTACCAAGTCTCTTCTAACCAAACTATGACAGTAAGTGGGGGAATTCAAGTAACCCTGTGTCAATGCAGTGAAAGTAAATTGGGATTCTTCCCACGTGAAAACGAACTGTGGCTGGTTCTATTCCAAGATTGGGATACAGAAAAGGCATTTGCAATATCAGTCACTGAGTACCAGTTGCCTTTAGCTTGCTGTATTTTCTGACCACTGATAACATGTCTGGAACAGCTGAAGCTACAGACAGCAGTACTTTATTTAGGCCTCGATAATCTGTCAGCCTCATGAACCATCTTGCCTTATACATGGACCATACAAGGCCGTTATACAGAGAATTTGTTGAGACCAACACTCCAGCCTTTATCATGTCTTTACATCAAAGCAGTACTCTCCTTTTTTTCATCAGGTGTCCTACACTGTTTCAAATTAATAACTTGAGTGGGTTTGGGCAATTCTAATGGTTCCCATTTAGCATATCCAATCAATATTGGTCTAAGGGCAGACTTGCACGCCTTCAGTTTTACAATATCAGGTAGAAGGAGTGTTCCCCAATTGGACATACTATCCACACCAATAATACATTCAGGTAAAGGAGATGTAACTACTTCATACAAGATCTGTTAAAATCTTCTAATTCTCATCCAAACTTTCACCTTAGTCCTATCAACGATTGTATCCCCATACCCCTCAGTCTAACTTTAGGCCCCTTCAAGATTTGACAGGTTTTGGAATCCCACATTGGGTTTGTGGCCAGGAGCCCCAACAAAGTCACTTTCCTATCCCAGGGCCATCTCACCTGCGTATGCGCATATGGCCTCTAGTCCCCTGCTGGGGGCTGGACCAGAAGACCCTAGTCCCCTTGACAATCCTTATCTTGGTCAACTAGCTGAGCTTCTGCTTTCAAATAGTCCTAGGTGGAAATTTCCATTATTAAATTCTTCCCAACTGGGGTGAATAGAATAGGACTTGTTTAGGCCTCTTTAACGTTGGGGGATGAGCAGGAGTTTCCATTGGTCCACTCAACCTCCTGTAGTGCAGCATTAGAGACTTTGTCTCAACTCCACCAACGTTTGTTATATTCATACTATTTCTTAGTAAGTATCTAAAAATCTGTCTTGCTGAGGTAAGTTCTTTCCCCACTGCTTCTTCCTAGTCTCCTACGAAATCACCTTTATGTTTTTTGCATTTGTAAGAACCATGCGGGGAAGCTGTGCCAACAGATTCAACAAGGCTTCTCAGATTGTTGCTTTGTTTTGTAGTAGCAAGGTTAATGGGGAGCCCATGTAGAAGGAGCTTCCCTGATTACTGTATCTGCCAAGACCTGTGTAAGGGGCATACTCATTGGATGAATATCCTGATCACCATAAAGGCATTCTAGCATGGCTTGCATAAGCAGAGCATCAGCTGTTTCTTCTGGAACATTCCATTGGGTATTTAGAGAAGGAGAGGGTCAGTTTCCTTTCTCAGGGTAAACAAATCTCACTGCAAATTTTACCAGTCCACCAGGCTGGCTGTCCCCTTCAGGTTAACCTGTTGTGTAACTGGATCTTGTATCATCATTTGTGACTGTTCTATAGTGAGTTGTGGGTCTTGCATCAACCCAAACATACTCTTCTATTCTGCAGCATTCAAAACTAAAGACATCGTCCCTAGATTAGTTGCTCTCACAATTGATTTCAGTAACACGTCTCAGGAAACTGACAATACTGATCTACAAACTGAAGCAACTCCTTTACTCTATACTCTCAGGTTTCAATAGTTTCTTGGTTTTGCCCGTTCCCCTCTCGGACTCCCTTCTCGGTGACTAAGAGTCATAGTGGTACTACTCGTTGTTTGACATGATTTTTCCTTTCTAGGTTGGCCCTGAGGTCAGCCCTGAGACTAGTGGTCGTAGCTCCAACCAGACTGGATCTGGGCACTGTTCAGTGCTAAAATCCACCCCCTACATTCTTTCTTTTCTGCCATTTTAGATATTATTGATAATAGAAACCAAGAAATTGCACATCTGGCCCTTTCCTTATCACTCTTTATTTTTATATGTACCTAACTAGCCAGTTCTTCAGGAGTTAGATCTATCACTCCTAATCCCATGTATCATGTTTGCCTTGGGTAACTGATTACAACGTAAGAGCTGCTTCAATCAATTGATGTTTTTTCTCCCATCCAGAAATCAAAGGTTTCTCATTTTCTTGTTTATCCCTTTTTCTAAAACTACATATTTCAATGAGTTTGGGCTAATGCAGCGAATCCCACTTCTGACACCAACTGAATATTTTATAAGGACCCTCACAAGGCTGGTTCCTATGAGGCAGAGTTTAAAGATGTTCCAAATGTCCTTTTCCAAATTGCTGTACCACTCCATCATCTCTAACATCAGCTACTCCCCCTCCCCTCAGTATTCTCCCTCCCATCTTTGGGTTTCGCAATTTATTGCAATGTCTCACAGAGCTCACGAACCATATCAAAGAAATGGAGGCTGGCAAGTTCCAAATCTGTGGGTCAGACTTAGGCTGCAGAGGCTGACAAACGCAAATCGGTAAGCTAGATGACAAGGCTGCTGGTTCACAAGGCTGTGGAAGCTGGCAAATCAGGTTAGACAGTCGGCTGCTGGCCCATGGGCTGTGGAAGCTGGTGAATCCTAGAATCTACAGGTCAGACGGCAGGACAGTGGCTCAAGTCCCAAGAACCAGAGGTCAGTGACAGGCAGGACACAGTATCCAGATGCAGAGACAGAGAGGGCCCCACCAGAGCCCCCACACATATACACTGGATACAAGCCATACCCCAGGGAAGGATGTGACTTGAATAAGGGTTGGACCCAAGTCACACCCTCTTGCAAGGCTGTGACTGGATACATACTACACTAATTCTGTCTCATTAACATATCAAACACAAAAAACAAAACCCATAGCTATCAAGTCAATTCCAACTCCCAGCGACCCTACAGGACAGAGTAGAACTGCCCCACAGGGTTTCTAAGGAGCGGCTGGTGGATTCAAACTGCTGATCTTTTGGTTAGCAGTGGAGCTCTTAACCACTGTGCCACCAGGGCTCCAATTAACATATAGAGGTTAGGATTTACAACCCATAAAATGCAAGATAATTAGAATAATTACACCAGATCACAAAATGGAAGATAGCCACACAATACTGGGAATCACGGCCCAAACTTCACAGGTTTCCTATACCTTATTTGCATAGTTCCAACCAATCACTGTGTGTGAGTCACAGACTGTGGTTAGAAGGGCCATATTAAGTAATTCATTGCACTGCAGCCCCTAAAAGTATTGTGGGCCCTAGGCACTCTGTTGTGTTTGATAGATAACTTGGCCCTGGCGACAGGTGTTACACAGAAGGAGTGAGTCACTACACAAAACCCACTTCGGGAAACAGAATCTGGAGGCACAGTGGCAGCATTCCATTAGAGGTACTGAGAGCGTGGGATGCAGGGCCACTCCTTTCCTTTCGTGCTATGGTAACCAAAGAAACAAAAGGAGAGTCACATACACACACATACTATGGTTAGATACACATAAACAGTGATAAGGAAAGGGCCAGATGTGCAATTTGTTGGTTTCTATCATCAATAACAGCTACAATGGCAGAAAAAAAAGAATGTAGGGGTGGATTTTAGCACTGAACAATGCCCAGATCCAGTCTGGTCGGAGCTACGACCGCTAGTCTCAGGGCTGACATCAGGGCCAAGGCTGCTGGCTCACAAGGCTGTGGAAGCTGGCAAATCAGGTTAGACAATCGGCTGCTGGCCCATGGGGTATGAGACTGTGGCAAATCTCCATGTTACTGATTCTATGTGAACTCTACCCATTCAGAAACGTTCCCTTAAGTGAAAATATTTGTGTTCAATGTAAATTTGTAAAGGCCTTCTCAGCAATAAGCTTTCTAACCCAACAATTTCATCTCTAGGGATTTTACATACAAAAATTCTCAAGAGTAACTGATGTGTTTATTGTAAAATATTCAAACATTTCAGACATTTTTGAGTTGTACAAGTACACAAAGACATGTATACGTTCAATGTAGCACTGCTGATAATAATAAGTTGGTAACCTAAATGACTATCAACAGGGAATTGGTTACATGAACTACTGTTGTTAACTGCCATCGAGTGGGTCCCTGACTCATGGCAACCCCACACACAACAGAACAAAGCTTTAAGAGAGGACTTCTTGAAACCTCTCAGTAGGCTTAAGGTGAGGGGGAAATTACCTTTACCCTTCCTCCACTAGGGGGTGCAATTCTCTCCAAAGAAATCTTATCATTTAATTTCTAACCTCCTGAGTCAGTCAAATTTAAACCCTTTTGTAAGCGTTGACGTGTGAGGGATGTTGTTAGCTGCTGTCGAGTCAGCTCTGACTCATGGCAACCCCATGCTCAAGAGAACAAAATGTTGCCCATACTGCAGCACAGGACACACATAATGATACTGCACCTCTCACAGGAAAAGGGCCCACGCTAACTTGTTATTTTAAATAAAGTTGATGCTCAATCTGGCCATTTTTGAGTGAGTGAGTAGCAGATGATCCATGACATCAAATTTCTTTTTTAAAAAAAACTGTTTTTTTCTTTTTTAAATCTTGAGTCCCAAAAGCAAAAATTTCAGCTTCTAACACAAGAAAAGTGGTGATTATCTACTAAATGTAGACAAATGACACAAGGTTTATCACATTAATACATTTAACTGGCTAGTGGATTACCCTGCGTCTTTTGTTATTAATCTTTCATTTCAAGAAGCATCCAATTAAGCACTATCCCAGGAAATCACTTTGCTAATATTAATATCAATTGTTTTCAAACCTGTTACATAATTTGCTTACTTATTCAATCAAAACTGCCTATAGAAAGCTAGCTCCCTTCATTAGTCAACACTGGTTTTAAATATCATTTGTGGTACTTTAGTATGATGAAACTAAATTCTATTTCCTGTTTCCTAGCAAAAACAGACATAGGTTATAGCAGTGCTTTCTTTAAAATATAATCATAAAATAGTCATTGAACAAAGTTTTAAAGGTCTCTCCCACAAAACACCATTTGAAATCTTTAAAATATTAGTAGCAGAAGAATCCACTTTATCAAATACTTTTCAGAGTCTATTCTACTAAATCGTTTAAGTAACTCAGAATGCTGTATCTGGCTTATTGCACACAGAAAGGAGACTTAGGATTGAGAAAACGTGTGATACAACACTGAAATAACTGAGTAATTCACTGTTCTACATCTTCATTTGAAATATATGGGAAAAGCACATCTACTCATGAAGACTTTCTAAGGCAATTAGTCACCCTGAATGTACTTTAAAGACAACTATGACAATTTCTCTGATTTCTTTTTGATGATCATTTGTAAGATATTTCTTGTATATCCTAGGAACAGTCACATTTTTTATTCTTTATACAACTGCAGGTAATCCAATTATTAGTTTTTCTTGGACATTAGTTTCCACCTCCACCCCCCCTACCACCAATACAGCAATTAAACTGGACAGCATGGCAGACTGGGGCTGAGTTTAAAACAGTAACATGAGTAAAAATAAAATCACACTTAACATTCATTTTAGAAATTGCAAACATTAGCAAAGGTAAGACAGAAACACTATTTTCCATATTCTACAGAAATACAATAATTTATAGTTGGCTTGTTACATGGTCACATGATAAAACAAATCTAATGGAAAAAAGAATGGTTCATTATACTTTTCTGCAACTTATCACAACTTAATAACTGTACCAGTAAGTACTGGAAGACAGCTGCATAGGAAGATTAGAGTTCTAGGGCTGTTTGTTGATACACATTATTGTATTATAAGAATAATATAAAAACAAAATAGGTACAGATATACAATTAACATGCAATTTAAGTTATTATTCTGAAGAAAAAGAACAGAATTTAGTGAACATAATTGAAAAAAATGTGCTAATAATGTGTTTTTATAATCAAGGTATCATGGTATTTTACATGGCATGGAATTACTTCCTCCTTAAATAATGCTTGGCGAATTGTTACAGGTTGATCCTACTTCTAGAGCAAATTTAAAACGAAGCCAAAGGAAAACTGGACTGGGCAATCCTATTAGACACTTTTCTAAATATTCTAAGTAATTTTTATAAGTACCATACTTTCATGCCTACCTCACCAACTCCCATTAAAAAAAAAAAAAATCATACTTTGTACCCTATGAATCTGCACTGTCCAATTCGGTAGCCCTTAGCTGCATGTGGCTATTGAGCACTTGAAATGTGGCCAGTCAGAACTGGGATGTGGTGTAAATGCAAAATACACACTGCATTTTGAAGATTTAGTATAGAAAAAAAAAAAAAAGAATAAAATATCTCATTAATAATTTTTTATATTGATTACATGTTAAAATGATAGTATTTTTAATACACTGGGTTAAATAAGATATAGTAAAGTTAATTTCCCCCCGTTTCTTTTACTCTTAAATGTGGCTACTAGAAAATTAAAAACTACTTATGTGGGTCATATTATATTTCTACTGGACAGCACTGCTCTAGATAACCTATAGTCATTATGCTAGCTTTAGAATTTAGCACCCTACTTCAAGCACTCTGGAGTACCAACTCTCAGAACACCGTAAGTACACTCTGCACACACCTTATTTCAAAATTTATTTTTATCCCTCTACATTTGAAATGTAAGAAGAATTCACACAAAATATTTAATCCTTAAAAAAAAGTCAACTAATATACAGTGAGAGCTAAAGGAACGTCAATGCAGACAGCAATGTTGGGGGAAATAGTTTAAGAAAAACAGCAGGGCCATCAGAGTGAAGATAATTAGTATCCTCAGTAAAATAAGTTAGCCAAACTTATCTTTAATGCCCAGAATCTGACCTTGCACCATAGATCCTATATGTAAGTTGTCCATTTAAACAAACTATAAGAAAATCTTAAAAACAACAATGAACGTAACTTACCTAAACATTCCATGTTTTGGAAAATCTTTAAGCAATGTAAAATTCACACATATGGTGAATTCAAATAGCAGAATATAGTATCTGACAACGATCCATTAAATTAAAGCCCCTCAGTGTTAAACTAAGCTACCAACTAGTGTCCTAGAATCTTACTTTTTTTTAAAAAATATCAATTTTAGAAGCTATTAAAAAAAAAAAGAGCAACGACCTTTTATCTTTTTCCCCCCTTCTCTCCTTTTTTAAAGCATTTGTATTACTTGGCATACTTTTAATACCTAATCTTTTACTTTTTCCAACTCAAAAACAGTAAATTAATCTAGCGTGCACTGTGTTATTGTCTTAGGAACAACAAATACCAAAACACAATACCGGCAGTGGTCACCTCCCTCAGAAGCCATCATCACAGTCATGCATCGAGAACCTCTCCAGGAGGCAATGTCTAGCTACACTTACACCACACACAGTGGGCTCCCAGCTCAGGTTGGAATGTTTTTTAAAACTGTTTTTATCTTTTTACATCAGGTAAGCGCTAAAAAAAAGTCTGAAAGCCACAAATCAACAGATTCTGAAGCTACTCTATCACTTATAAAATGTCCCTCTCATTTTAAAGATGTTCTGAGGAAACGAATAAGTAAAAGTTGTTTAAAGTAACTTCACATTTTATCATTATCACTTTTAAGACGCTGGAAAGCAACCAAGATTTAAGGAGAAATAAACAGAACCTGAACCAGGTAACATTGGATACCAATACAAAAACTGACTGCTAAAGATTACAGTAGTTTTTTCTAGAGCTCAGCAACCTATTTATTAAGACATTTAATCACTAATGTGCATTGCACAAGAGGATACTACTTAAACTTTTCACATGTCCTACCTTCAAGACCATGTTCTACATAAATATTCTTATTACATTACTAACTCCACCCTAAATAAGCCTAGTAATCATGTCAAATGATATAATTTTTCAATTTTAAAACATATATTACTCTATCAAATATACTCCTCATGAAAAAGTGGTAACAGTCTCCTTTCTGAAAGCTCACTGTTAGTTGTGATGTTTGAGTAATTGTCAACTATTTATTGAGCACCTACTATGATTGCACTCACTCTAAACTCACCAGTTAACCAGTAAGAAAAAAGTACCTGCTCCAAATACAAGATGACATTGTGAGGAAGGAAAATATATGAGTATTTCTAATAGAATGCTATATGATTCAACATTTGGACATGTGAAGGTATACATCCCTACGATATTGAAAAAAAAAAACATCGAATTTATTATCCATCACTTTATAAAGATAAATAAGCATTCCGAAGTATGCTGCATAGTACTCTGAGGAAAGGGACTGCCATACATAAAATGAAGGCTGATTCCCTAAAGGTATGGAAGAAAACCCAGAAAGTCATGATTCATAAATCACCAAAGACTGAATATAAGCAGTTTACACAAATGTCTGATTAATTCAGGCACACGGGCACTTGTGTTAGGTTGCCAGCTTTGCTGGAGGGCGTTGGTCTAATAAAGAAAACTGCCTTAAATAGGAGCATTTTAACAAACAGAAAAATAACCCTTTGGATAAAACTCTTTGCAGAACCAATATATAAATCCAAGCTCCAAATCTCATTTAAATGTGTATATATACATATATTCATATATACATACACACAGACACGCCCTAAAAGTATCTAAGTTTCACTTACAATGTTGTATAGTTATATTTATGCCTTACACATTTGAACTTCATTTACTATGTATTTTATGTAAAATGTTTTATTTCTCCCAAAGCTACTAATGTGTGGCCACTGGTGATAAGACAGAGATAAGCTAGTTTTAACTTTCTAGTTTAAATACTCTGACTTAGTGAATTCCTACAAAGTGCAAGGCATTATGCAAGGTGTTGCAAATGCACAGGGTCTGCACATAAAGCACTCTCTCTCAGGGAAACTGAAATGTTAGGAAGCAAAACAGCTGTCAGTTTGAAAAACAACAGTATGCATTTTCCTCAACAGGATTTCACAAAATTGAGATTGATGACAACTAAAACAAAAATACAATCACCCCACCCCCTACCCTGCCAAAACATGGAATATAATCATTTCCACAGAAGACACATATTAGAGATAATCATTTCTATAGAAGACAAATATTAGAGAACATCATAGCAGAGCTGCAGAGACAGAAGCAGTGATATGATGAGGCAGCAACAGAGCAGTCTACTAGCTACTGCACTGGTAGTGGTTTATAAAAAATACTATCTGTACTAAAATTTTAAGAACTATAATATATTTAGCATATTTTTGCTAATGAATATAAAATTTTTGTCCTAAATTTACTAAATCTTCTACACCCTGAGGAATAATGACAGACTAATAAAAGAAATGCCAGGGTTAGCTCTGTGGACCATATTATTATCCAGAAAGCACAAACTATATATAGCTAATATTCTTGGAAGCATGAGGTTTCATCAGCAGGCTATGCTACTGCTCTGTATTTTTTAAGCCAAGAATTTGGTTTTACAGTGTTAGCATGGCCTGGTGAGAGCAGAGAAGTCAGAGTTGGGAGCATGAGGCCGCCAAATCTGCAAGTGACACACTGGGTTTCGGTCCCCACTCTGCACGACATATTGTTGCCCTTAAGGAACGTATTATTCAATAGTTCTCCGTAAAGCACTTTGGAATCTTTAGCTATATGTTTTTATGAAATTACAATTAAAAATTATTTGCTATCTTGGAATATGGAATTCCTATCCCTCCCCTCACTACACATAAAAGGCCACATTTAAAATTCTATTTCAGTATATCCTTCTTTTCCTCCAATATTTGAAAGGACAAAGTCTCATTTTTCTTCCTTTCAACTGTCTTGCACTAGGCCTGAATCTGGGACAGAAGGAAGCTCCTTAAACTGAGACAAGGACTCACTAGGACAACTGGCCTTTCTTTGAGGGCAGAGTGCCACCGTTCTCCTTTGAGGCTACACAGGCTTTAGGCTGATCTGTAATTACACACACACTGCCCTCTAAATGGGATGTCTCCAACCCCCTCAAAATTAGTTGTCATGGGAAAAAAAAAAAAAATTCTTCTTGGTACGCAGCTTAAAAATGATAATTAATGAAATGCAAACCAAAGCATTGTACCTGCTCATATCTGTATCATTAAAGGAGAAAATACTCCATGGGACCAACACATGCCTAGCAAGAGGAATAAATAAAATAGTGAGTCTCACCATCAACTGTTTGACAAAATTTCCAATGATTTGTTTCTGCCTATTTAGCAAAAGTATTCTGTTTTATGCCTCAACATTAGATTTATATATAATCTTGCTCCAAAAGAAGTAAGAAAGAAAGGCACTCAAATTAACACAGTACATATAATAATTTGTTAAAAGACACTGTGTAAAGGTAAGTAGAATTCTCAGGGTCTGGTTTTTCCTGCACATTGCCTTCATGACACTGAATTTGCCTAAGCTTCCCTGTGCCTCCACATACTTCTCCATTAAACAGGAGCATAACAGAGCACACTCAGGCATGGGGAGGCGGCTGCACTGTAAAGTGCTGGGTTTGCACAGTAGTTCCCCTTGAGAAATTCATTCAAGACAAAAGGGTCAGTTGTTACAATGTTGTTCAAATTTTCTATTTTTAAATATAATTTTCTAGTAACAAAATAACTAAACTTACACCCTCTTACAAAAAAAGATCATATGTTACTTCCTTTTATAACTAAACCTTTAGCATCTTTTATAATTCAGGGGAACTAAGGTACAGAGAGGAGCCCTAGTGGCACAGTGGTTAAAGTGCTTGGCTGCGAATGAAAGGTCAGCACTTCTAACCCACCAGCCTCTCCATGGGAGAAAGATGTGGCAATCTGCTTCCATAAAGATTACAGCCTTGGAAACCCTATGGGGCAGTTCTACCTTGTCCTATAGGGCTGCTATGAGTCCGAATCAACTTGATGGCAATGGGTTAGTTAAGGTACAGAGATTAGACCGTGGTAATTGCACTCCTAAATTATATTTAGTTGCATTCCTAAACTGTATTTAGCCCATGTCAGATACCATCTTGTGCTATGTAAAATTATTAGACTGACAATTTGTTTGCAACAATATTAAAAGTTCTCTCTTCCCATACACACACACACACACAAACAAACACGAGAATCAACAAGCATGAACTGGCATGATCGGAACATATCAAAATCACACAAAGTCTACTATATATGCTTTCCTACCAGCTACCACATAAAAATCCAAGAACTTTAGTTTCTACATCTTTCATCCAATAAGCCTTAATTTGAAGATTCAAGCAGCTTTTTAGTGGCAACCTGTACACATTTAATCCTTTTAGAAATTAATGAACCCTTTAATTTAAATTAGAACTGTACCATAGGAATAAGAAATATGACTGAAAGTCTGGGCCCAGAGCTTCTAAAGAGGTAATGAAATGCTAAAACCTAGAAAAGAAAAAGCAAACACAGAAAGGTATCAAATCCTTAGGCTTAAAAAGTGTCTCACACAGGTTTAAGAAGTATCTGAAAGGTCCACAGTTCAAGTTGGCGGAAACAAAAGAGAAGCATAAAATGACTATCCATGTACAGAGATACAGATCTACAAGTCGGTGAAATCAAAGGATTTCTCCAGATGCCTGAGAGGCTCTGTTGGCAAGATATGTCCTCTGACATAAATGAACCATAGTGTTCTTAATGCAAATGCATTCGTTTTATGAAGTTTGATGAATTTTTAATATATATTAAAGTACAGTTAATTAACAATTATAGAACTGCATTTCTTGGTTGGGATTTAAACAAATTTAAACAAGGCAACGACATGAAGGAAAAAATCTAAATTAACTTATTCTATATGCAATAGTTCCCTCTAAGTATCATGTAACTGGAATGCATCATTCACTCACAATCCATTGCAATATTCCATCAATTTCTTAGTCATCCACGCACTCCATCCATCACACATGATCAGTATTTCCCTTCTTCAAACAGTTAATCATTCATTAATTTAATAAATATTTAATGAGTCCTTATCATGTGCAAGGCACACAGTAGAATCTGGAAACACTGTATTACTAAAATAGGTATAATTAAAAAAAAGGGGAGAAGGAGAATGGATATTTACAAATCTTATTGCTTTTTGCTTGTCAGTAGTATTCTTAATCCACAGGATGGTATGATGACTTACTATTGTTCCAGTGAAAGTTTAATGAAATGTTTGTCAATCTAAACTATCTCTTCCATTTTAGCAACTAGATATTTATGAAAAGAAAAAAAGACTAACAAGCCCCTGAAAATAAGACACATCCTTTCTATTGCATGAATTCATTCAGTCAAAGGGATATCAAGCTATAACTAGTGAGTTTAAATGTAGACCATTTAGGGAAAAAAACACAACCATATAGGGCAATATTACATTTTTCTGTTAATGAACACTTGAAAATGCAAATTTTAGAAATAAAATGGCACACAAAAATAACATACAAAGCAGTATCCTTTTGGATATTTGTATTTTCACTAACTCCTTAAAACCTTATTAGGAAGACAAGTGATCAAGATACATTAAAGGACTGAATGGCTTCAGAAAGGGGTAGGTTAAGAGCCTTAAAACACATGAAGAGAGTCAACACCAAAGATGGCCAACATACTCTGGAAAGGTATAAAAAGATACTGAGAGCATGAAGCATTGTAAAAATTTAGCCGATGTTTCATAGGGTATTATCTATACTCATTCCCTGATGCTCTCTCACATCAAAAAGTTAAGAAGCCTTATAAGCTGGGATATTTAAAATGATGCTTAGAAAAAGGTAATACTGAATGAGGCCAGAGTTTGGTAACATGTATTAGTGAAATGGGCTGAGTCTCCTATGTTTTCTCTGTGTTGTTGCTTCCCCTCCCCTCCACAGAAGCTAAAAACTGTAAGCGAATGGTTTGATCCATAGAGGTCTAGATAGACCCTGAGGTATTTGATTCATGAACATCTAGTCAAAATATGCTTTGTACATAAGGGTCATGGAATTATGTTTGCAATGGCAATTATTTTCTCACCTAAGTGTGATAAAAGCTGTATTTTTTTTATGCCCAGAGAGAGGAGCAGCTTCTGTCTATTGGGGCCAAGCAGGACAATTTTTCTGGGGTCCTTAAGGCTTACTCGGTTCAATAGTCTGCCACTCAACAAAATCATGATGCCCAAGTAAAGGACCCATCTCTTTTCCCCTTAAGGCAATGAACCTAGGTCAAGTCCAAGGTTTCTAAAATAGTGAGATAGGAGAGGTATGTCCTTCCTTACACATTTTTCCCCACCTTACAGGTGACCTAGCAAGTAAAAAGGACAAAAGGCAAAAGTGGTGGTCACACTTGTTTCTGCCATTATTACTCATGTTCGGCACATTTATAGGGCAACAAACAGCTTCTACCATTATGGGAACTTTTAGAGGGGCAGCTCTATTTCCTATTTCCTGTGTGCGTGTTTTAATGGGGTATGAAATTCATTGCAAATAGGACAGAGATGAGAATATCTTTAGTACACATCCCTGAAATAAGACAGATAAGGAAAAATACAAAAGTGAAACTGACGAAAAATATGGAACAAATTGGGAAAATAAGGAAAAAGGTATGTGGGAAGGAAGAAACACAGCGTTTACAAAGAGGTAAATACATTAAAGAAAGCAGACATTACCCGGCCCTTTTCCCACCCCTGTTATCACCAACCTGAAAATCCCAGCCCTTGTTATTAAAAAGATAAGATACAGCTATAAGGTAGATACTTTGGTACCTCATCCCTGATAAGTTCAGTATCAAAGATTTTTTGTTTTTATTTTTAAAATAAAGATTAAAGAACTAATCTTTAAAACTACTCTTTCCTCCTGGCTTTTGCCAGTAAACTTTTAATAGTCACTTCACAAAAATTTTGTAGTTTATCCAGTGTACCCTCAATAACTTAAATATATTTTTAAAAAGGAAGATTTTATGGATGTATTTCTATGTATATTTCTCTCATTTTTTTATCAGCGAATTTGGAAGGAAAAAAGCAAAGTAGTAATAACTAAAATGGCATTCCAGGTTTTTAGGAAAAAAAATTGATTTTATAGGGCTGACTTGAGTGTTTTTGGCATATATCAAATTTGAGGTAAAAATAACCTATCAAAACTAGTAATAAAAATAATTTTCCAGTACTGTAATTACATAAACTCTTAAAATTAGTTGTTGTTTTTTTCCTAAATAACCATTTTAAAAACAGATTACAACGGAAGCATGTTTTTCATATAAATCCCAATACTTCTGACTTTGGTTATGTTAGTCTACAACTTGAGTAGAACAATGTTAGAGAAAGAGAAATGATTTGTATTTTCACATATCTGTCCATCTAGTCGTTTGTTTCTCAAAACAATTAGATCAAGTCATTTTGCATTTGTGTTAATCTTAAGCTAAACTGCAATATAAATTTTTAATTTTTAAAAAATTAGCCTATGCAGCAGTTGCACTGAGGTGGGAGTGTGTATGAACCAATAAGGAGAAGCAAAAAAGAAGAAGCCCTACATGTAGAAATATAAAGGATGAACAATTAAAAAGAAAAAATTTAAGACTCATTGTTCAGCAGGAAGGAACTATGCAATTATTTTATCCCCAAAGGGAATGCCAGTTCTTAACAAAATAAATTAAATGAAAGAGTTACTAAGGATTTTTAAACTAAATATGAAGAACATATGTTTAGCCAATAATAGCAAACAGTCCATGCAACTATGTAAGTAATATTGCACTAAAAGGGGAACCTTGCAGGACTCATCCACTTCTTTCATTGACTCAAAGTAACCAGCCATTTCCTATATGCATTGGCAAACCTGGCTTGCTCTACATTCCGGCAGGTGGACAATACTTGATCAATGAACCTGTGCTCCATTTCTAGGCCTAGGGAGTCTGGAGCTGGGGTCCGCTTCAGGCGTTTGGTTTCCTGGGAATAGCCTTGCTTGCTAGAGTCATTTAGTCCATCCACCTCCATCGCCTGAGACGTGCAGGGGCCTGCTGGGATGAGGTGCAAGTCACTCAAAGTCCCCCCAGGGCTGTCTGTAGGTGACAACTGGGTCATGCTATGAGAAAATCTCCCATTTAAATGATGCTGAAGGTAGAAGACATGCCTCCTATGAAAGAGAAAGGAGGGGAAAAGAGAAAAGAAAATCACATCACAAAGTCAAGCTTTTCAGGAAAAACAAAAAATTAAGTTGATAATTAAAAATATACAGTACTTAGTTCCCTGCCTCTTTCATAACCCAGAGTTATCTTAGAAAAGAGCTAAGATGAAGTCTCTGGGTAACTGGACAAAGCCTTACAACCCCAGCTTACTGGTTTGCTTGTGAAAAAGAATACTACCCCAAAGGTTTTCCAATAAACATTTACTGAAATGACAAAGACTTGGAGCTGTTATTCGTTGGTAACTATATGAAATTAGAAATAGGTCTTAGCTCAATTTCTGCTATAAATTATAAAACCAAATCAAACCAAAAATTAATCTCGATATGCTAAAACACAAGTGATTCAGAGACAAGGGGATTAAACAGTTCCTCCAGAGGCTTAGTCCATGGCCTCTACCCAATACTTGCTTTAATAAGCACAACAGATCTGCGGCAGTTGGTCTTATTATCTAGAAACCAACTGAGCTTGCCCCTGAATCCATTGCTACAGTCTCATTAAACATCCACATCCAGTGGGAATGTGCTAGGCTCTGGGTAAAGGACATAGTTCCTGTTCTCCCTCTATGGACGGCAGTTTTCCTGCCCTTAGAATCATCTGGAGTTGTTTGTAAAAATGAAGATCCATGTGCCTAATCTCCAAAAATTTGATTCAGTGGGAGGCACATGTACTGTACATGATAAGGTAAACTATACAGGTTCTAAGTTGCTATTTTTTGTCATTCAAATCAGCAAGTGTTAGCCCTTAAGCGATAATGCTATTCATTTCCCCAGCGTCTTCTGAAGTAGACAGGGAGTATATAACACACTGATTTTACGGAGGATAGAACTTTAGAACAGCTGAGCTGCCTAAGGGCAATGAGGTACCAGTGGAACACTGGCCTGTGCTATATACAGGCCATCTTCATCTAGCTGTCTCTTTTCTCTCCTCAATCCCAAACTCCAATTAACCTTTATATGAACAAAGAGTTTCTGCTCTGTGCATCTAGCTACCTTTCAAATACATAAAATTTTTTAAGCTCTCCAAACCTTGCTATTAATATGCCTAAATACAAAATAACAACAAACAACCTGCAAGTTAAGATCTATCTTCTCTCTTGAAAATGTGGAATAAAAGTATCTTGCTTTTAAGAGAAAAGGAGAATTCTGTATTTACGAAGTGTCAAAGAGGAGAGACAGTCTTCTATCTTCTGAATACATTTAGCATGGAACAGCAACTGAACAAGTTCCCTCAAACAGCCCACAAGAAAGACTAGACTGGAGACAGGGGAAATGTCTCAATAACTTAAAAGGTATACAGACTTTAAAAATGCCTACTTCCTGCCAAACACAGGCAAGTTTTTTATTTACAAATACAATCCTACATGCCCTGAAGGAGAATCTGTATTTATGAAGGCAGAGAGGCCTCAAACTAAAAGAAAAAAAAAAAAAATCCAAGCAAGGTTCACATACACCTAGAGTCCATTCCAACAAAAAATTTACTTTACTGTCAAATGTACTCAGAACTCACGCGATGAGGTTGCTAACCCCTTTTCCCTCTTTCCTACTAGTACTGTCCTCCTCTTACACATTCCTCTAAAAAAGCAAAAAAATGTCAACTTATTCTCAGGGTCTAATCTATGGTTCTAAACCCTGACTGTGCATCAACATGATCTGTTAGGGATTTTGTTTGTTTTTTAAACAGAGATGGAAGCACCCCATCCCAGATATGCCAAATATCAGAATCTCCAAGGAGTAACCCAGAAACATTTATTTTAGAAGTAACACAAGTTATTGTTACACAGTCAAAGTTGAATACCACCATCATAAGTCATAGGCAAAGATATGAGTGAGGAACCTCATATTGATGATGATATAACACAAACCCCTTCTAGTATCTACCCAACAGGGCAGAAGTCAGACGCAAGACCCTCTGTGGCTCTCATAAAGGGAAGTGTAGTTTCATACAGGAATGGGTTTTCCCTTCTCTTACCTATGACACCATAGAGTTTCATGTCCTGGGTAGGTATCAATGAGATCAGTGGTGAATTCAACTTCTTCTTCTAGAAGATGGGGAAGATTAATCCTTGGTTCCTCTGTTGAAGCTGCTGCTTCTTCACCTTTTGGAAGAACCAGGGCTGGCTCACTCCTCAAAGGGTTTTGCTCCAATACAGAAATGTCTATCACAGTTTGGCTAATCAAAGACTTTATCAAAAACTGGCGGTAGTGAAATCCGCTGTGGTCTGAAACATGCATGGATGCCCAATGCTTAGTAGAAGATAGTTCATCAAGAAGAATCTTATAGGAAGAAAAAAAGGGAAGTGAGAAGAGATATTTCCAGATGTTTTTCTTTCTCTACTAACACCCTGGGTTTCTCTTTGATTCATTCCTTGTTTTTTTGACAATGTCATTCCTACTAATATTACTGAACTCCTTCTACCTCTCTGTAAAATGAGGGTGAGGTTATTTTAAGGATTAAATGGTATTATTCATATACAATGTCCAGTAAGCACACTGCTGTTACTTAGTGGAAGCTCAATATATGCTAGTTTGCCCATCTCCCTTATAAAGAGATAGGAGATATTTAAAAAAAATTACAGAATTTAAGGATTATTTTGTCATTCTTTTCCTGGTCCTTGATTAATCACATTCCGATTGGCACATACAGAGAAAAATCAAATTCTAAAATAATAATGAATATGAGGGTATTCATTTAAAGTAATGCTGACATAGAAGGAAAAATATAAATCCAGAGGTTACTTTGATATAAACTTCCTTTTACATTTAACAAATATGTACTATAGGTAACATGTTATTTGTTCAACAACAGGCTCAATGTGATTATTCTTCACTATAAGTGCCACGAGGGCAAAGATCATTACTGTTTTGTTCACTATTTAATCCTAAGGGCTTAGCCCAATGAATGAGATAACAGGACTTTAAAAGAGCTCATGACTTTCACTTATTCATCTCAAACTCATTTAACATCAATGATAAATGTGTTTCTAAAATAAGTGAAATAAAATCCAGCAGTGAATTGCTTAAATCTTTGTGTTATCAAGCTTGCAAACTAAAAAATTTTAAATGGAATGATAAAAAGTAGCAATTATGAAAAAATAAATTTTCTGGCAGTGTCTTGGGAGTTATCAAACATATATGGATTTTGATCAGTAAAAGGTCAATCAAGGGCTCAGAGGACAAAACTGACCAGAGAAGGCAGGCACAACCAGCAGCCTCGGGACCCCAGTACCCTCTAGGGAAGCCAAGGGATGTCTCTGGGGGAGACAAGGGAGAAAAGGCCACTTGAGGTGAAATACTGGGATCTGAAAGGCAGTAATGGAGAGGGGTACAAGCCCCTTAAAAGAGAGTGCAGATGCAGCCACTGTGGAAAACAGTAATGGCGGTTCCTCAAGAAGTTAAACACAGATTACCATGTGACCCAGCAATTCTACTCCTAGGTATACAACTCAAAGGAACTGAAAACAGAGACTCAAACAAATACATGTACATGAATGTGCAGAGAAGTACTAGTCACAACAGCCAAAAGGCAGAAGCAACTCAAATATCCATCAATGGATGAACAGATATAATGAAATATTATTCAGCCATAAAGAGGAATAAGTTCTGATGCATACTACAACACAGATGAACCTTGAGGACATTATGCTAAGTGAAGAAAGCCAGACAAAAAAGGTCAAATATTGTATGATTCCACTTATATGAAATATCCATAATAGGTAAATCTATAAAGACAGAAAGTAGATTAGTGATTGCTAGGGGGTGGGTGGAGAGAGAAGGGGTAGCAACTGCTTAATGGGTACAGAGTTTCCTTTTAGAACCAGACAAAGGTAGTGGTTATATAACATTGTGAATATACTAAATGACAATGAATTATTTACTTTAAAATGGTTAACTTTATGTTATGTGAATTTTACCTCAATAAATACAACTTTTAAAAGAGGGGAAAAAAAGTATGTCAAGGGCCTACCACATTCCATCAGATTTTCAGACTAGCTGAGGGAAAAAGACATATACTTGTGAAGTGTGTACAATATAGACAGCGCAATGTCAACTGACTCATTTAACTGCTTTCAAGGGTTCTAGTCAAATGCCTTCTCCTATACCAAGATACCCTCTCCACTTCTCACCAGTCCCTTTGGCTAGAAGAACTCTTTCCCTCTTCTGAACCTCCATACTTCTTGTTAGAGGATTTTTTGTACATCTTTTCATCCTCATTAAACACTACAAGCTCTTTGAGACATTTATTCATCCTTAATGAATGTTTCCATCCCCTTATCTCTACTAGCATCAGATGGGGGCATAAGCATTTTATGAATAAATGAATGAATGAACAATTTAATGAATGAAGTGACTAGTACAAACAGATAGGATGCCTTCCCGCTAGGATGGGCAGGTTACATCAGTGAAATGTTTTAGATTTCTCCTTTAAATTCTTATGAGTTTATTCATAACAACATAAACTTATTATAGAGGCTATACCTACTGAGTCTCTGAGAAATGGAAAACAAGATCATTTACTTGATATTACAAAGGTAAGCAAAACAGCATCAGATGAACTTCTACCCAGAGGGAGAAAAAAAGCCCATCTTAAGGCCATTACACTGCTGAAGAATTAACCTGCAGAACGTTTAGGCTATAATACTGCAGCTTTTTTATTTTGTATAGCTTCTAAATACATATTGAAAAGAGGACTTATATAACATGAAAAACCCTATTTTTAATAGATTTTTCTACATATAAAAATTGGAATTTAGTGTTTAATTTTGAGGCAGAAATCGCACATATACGTTTTCAACAAAAGCAATTTATTTCAAAAAAGTCTGAGCTTTTTAAAGAGAAAAATCTACTGTATTCTTTTTCCTAAGATGTAAAAAATGCATATTAAAACAGAGAAGAAACTTTTAACAGCTATTTCAGGGCATTTTCTTACTAGAATAAAAGGTATATAGATGTAGGCAATGATGTAAAAAAAAAAAAAAAAAAAAAACAGCAGTTGCTTTTAAGTGATCTTAAAGCCACTGAATGAAGATGGTAAGGTACTGACTGAATGAATGACCTATATAATATATGTTAAATGTTGTTACTCCTTTCCAACTTCCACATAAAAAAGAATGAGTGAATAAACCACAAGAAAACTATAGAAACTGAGCTATGAAACATAGGGATATAGGTTTAATATGAGACTACTGAAAATGCACGTTCTTACACACACACCCCATGAGTTTTGTAAATTTTTAAAGATAACATTAGGTTTTTCTTCTGATTATAAAAGTGATACAAAGTGATCGTTACGGAAAATTTTAAAAATATAGAACAATATAAAAACAATATAAAAAAGGCAAAAAAAAAAAAAGTGCACCTGCTATGCAGCCCTATCAGCACAGTGGTTAAGAGGTACGGCTGCTAACCAAAAGGTGGGTAGTTCGAATCTACCAGCTGCTCCTTGGAAACTAGATCTATGGGGCAGTTCTACTCTGCTCTATAGGTCTCTATTAGTCAGAACCAACCCTCAGCATCTAACAACAAATCCTATAGGCCTGAGAAAACTACTCTTAACATTCTGGCACATGACCGATCTGTCAGCTTTATTCTATGCACGAAGTTTAATTTTAACACAGATCTGGAATACTCTTTTACACTGATTTTATTCCATTTAAATTATAAACATATTCCCGTGTCATTATTACTGTGTAACACAGTTTTAACTTTTGCATAGTATTTCATTCTAAAGATTATACCACAATTTAGCCATTGCCCTATTTTGTTTCTACTCTTGTACAAATAACACTCCTATGAACGTCCTTATATACCAATATACGTGCATATCTTGTTTAGGAGAAATTTCTAGAAATATACTTACTGCGACAAAGAGAAAAACTCTGTGAGGCTCCTGATATATGCTGTCAATGTGTCCTCTAGGAAGGTGGTATAATTTATATTCCTACTAGAAATACATGTTAATGCCGGTTTTATAAGTTCCTTGTCAACCTTCATAAATTAATAAGTGAAAAATCATATTTCATTTTAATTTATATTTCCTTATCAATAAGGCTAAACGTTTCTCATGTTTTGCCTTTAGTGAACTGCCTGTTGTGTCTGTCTTCTTCTTTTATGAATTGCTTAATTTACTACTTGTGATATTCATTATTTTTCTTATGCATTTGTAAGCAATCTTTATACATTAAAGATATATTAGGCCTCTGTTTGCCACATATGTTATATTTTCCTCAATATTACCATTGCAATTGATTTTTAAATTCCCTTTATTTCTTAGTAAATTTTTTTTAATTCCATTTGGAGTTTTTTAAATTGCATTCTAAAATGTCAATATATTTTACCAAGATAACAAATGGAACAAAGAATTCTTTCTCTGATTACGTGAAATGCTATATTTCTCATCAACACATTTGTATAGATTATGTAGTAGGATATGTTCCTGGGCTTTATATTCTCTTCCATTATTCTTTTTTTAAACCAGTACCAGTTTTAATCACTCAATCTTTGTAAACATTTAAATATCTAGCAGTATACACTGTCCTTTATTTTTCTTTTTTCTTTCAAAAATTCCTCAGCTAGGTGATACGGAACCCAAGGTTGAGAAGGGACAGTGTTGACACGTCATGGGGTTGTTAACCACTGTCACAGGGCAATACGTGTACTAATTATTTAATGAGAAACTATTTGTTCTGCAAACCTTCACCTAAGGTAAAAAAAAAAAAAAAAGAATTATTATCTATGTGAGATGAAATTGACAACAGCAACTCAAAAGGTTTGATGGGAAGCCTAGGGGGCAGTGAGTTGAAGATAATGATGATGGAATAATTTGGAAAAGGACTGTGTGAATAACAGCACAACTGGAAGAATGTAATCGATGTCACTGAATTGTACATACAGAAACTTTTGAAATGGTGTAACTTTGGCTAAGTATATTTTCACCAAAAATAAAAAATGTCCTTCAAGGTCGAGAAGGGGAAGTGTTGACATGTCGTGCGGTTGTTAACCAATGCCATAAAACAATATGTGTACTGATTGTTTAATGAGAAATTATTTGTTCTGTAAACCTTCATCTAAAGTACAGTAAAAAAAAAGAGAGACAAAAAAAAAAATTTCTCGGCTCTTCTTCAAACTTCTTTCAAATGAACTTTAGAATTAATTTCGGAAGTTGAAAATAAATCCAAGTAGCATTTTTACAGAAACTTAACTGAATTTATAAATTATTTTGTTAGGAACTGGTAAGTTTACAACAGGTCTTATTTTTCCATTCAGGAACATGGTCTGTCTCTTCACTTATTTATTTTAGTGTCCCTCTGTAAAATTTTTAGTTTTCTTCATACAGATTGTTCATATTTCTTCCTAAAGAAATTCTTGGGTGTTTTACATTTTTCCTTGCTTTTATGAAAGGGCAGATTGGATTTTTTTAATCTCTTAATGTATAAAATTGTCTACAAATATAGAACTATTTCTACAAATCCTTTCACAAACAAAAGTTGCTTTAAATTCAGAGTTCAATAAAATTTTCCACTGAAATGATACATCAGTCACGTGAATATCTTCAATTAAAAAAATTAAACATGTATTTGCGAATTGCATTATTTTTCATGGCCAATACATACTTAACTTCCAGCCTCTACCCCTAGATCTAGGACTAAAATATTTTTTAAAGATGATGTTACTAATCCCTGCTCAAGTAAAAGGGTGCTCTGAGTTATGTCTTCTCCCGAGTGGTCACAGGTATGCAGTGGGCCATATACACATTCTAGCCCAGCACTTAGCAGCAGAGCACTGCCTGTGGCCATGGAATGAAGCAGAAATGACTGTCCTGATTCGTGGATCAGACCCCAAAATTGCTCTACTGGTACCTTGCTGTAATTCATTTGAACTAACTGGATATCCGAAAGAGACAAAATGCTCAAAATTTTGCTCTGTGACATGTCATCAAGTTTCTAACTGCTGGAGGTGAAGGGCATGCAACACTAATGTCAAAGTAAGTATACCTCAGACTTAAGGCTGCATGTTTTCCAGTTTCCCATGTAGAAAGTGAGTCCCTACAGAGACTATGTCTGTTATTAGACTACTGCTCAGGGCAATTATGTTCGAAGTCACACAATCAGTGGTATAGTAAGATCAAGGAACCAAACTTCAGTCTCACTATCTAGCTTTCATTTCATTAAACCAAGTGTTTAAGAGACAGAGGAGCAGAGGAAGAATTGACTACGGGATCCAAAAATAAAAGGGTAGGGATCATCAACGTTAACAGTAAAATTACTCATTGGCCTACAAACTGTCTACTGTATTAATTTTACCAACCATCTCTGGTAACTGGAGCAAGGAATGCAGAGAAATATTTTTCCTCTGAGATTCATTAATAGCATCAACCTAGCCCAAGAGAGTGGGGAATATCTGTTGGTAATAGCTTTTACCATATGAAATTAGGGACTCCCAAACTCTTGTGATGACAACTAAAGTAAGTCTTAGACACATTCTGAAAGGTTTTTGATTAAATAAACCAGATATTTTAAGATCCAAACAACGGAGAGATAACAACTATTGACCTTGCCCACAATGGGAACTTAGCTCTTTTCTACTTCTGCAAATTGTAAACGTGTGGATAATCTAATGTCCAGACACCTATTAATTCCTCTAAGTATACATGCTTGCCCAAATTTTAAGCCCTTTGTTTGAATTAAAATGAGTCTGACAAAATTAAAAATGGAACTAGGTTTTAATTTGGCAAGAACTATGATTAATTTTGGAGACAAATCTAACTATTAAATTAAAAGAGAACAAGATCACTAAGAAAAGGGGTTAGAAAATTGAGCCAGGGCTAAGCTAATACTTTGTTTGGCTTTATAGGTATGTCTGAAAAGAGGTTGGGCAATCACTCATCCAACCTAAATTGGATTATCAGGAATTCTACTCAAAAGAAAATGTAGTAACATATACATAATACAATAACCTGTAATTACTAACATAGTACTTTCAAAATCATATTTATGTTCAAAACATTATTCGTGTTGAGTGATTATTTTATACACATAGCATAAACAGTATTTCTAAACTGAATTCATCTCCCTAATTAGAAAGTAAAGCTCCTCAAAAGCAGGAATATGTCTTTTTTTTTTTTATCTCCACTGCTAGCAGTGCTTAACCCATAGTAAATGTTTTGTAAATGACTGCTGAACCAACAGAGAAATATCAACTATTTATCTTTATGAGATACTTCTTGATACCATGTTCGATAGTGATTGCTGCTAAAGGAGGAGAATAAAGTAGGGAAGGGGGATATCAGTGTATGTGTGCCAGGGGAAGGGGAGGAGGGTCAAGCTAAGGAGAATTAAGAATTTTAGATATTTTTTCTTCAGTCTCCAGATAATACTTGTCTCTCAAACCATGCAGAATGCTTGCAAGAATTTTAGAAGTGAAGGATAAATGCCGACATCTAAGTGAGAAGCCTATGTACAATAAGAAAAAAAGCCCCTAGGAATAGGAAACCCAAGAGGCTTTTGTTCTTATTGTATATAGGCTTCTCACGTAAGCTTTTCAAGAACAGTCCCTACTAACAAGAGGACTGACATTTATGCTCCAATTAATTCTGTAACAGGCATGTATCCACACTGGCAAACTACAGAACAACCTGCAGAGCAGATTCTAAGAGAGTAGTTGAAGATCATCTGAAAAGTTTCTTTTCCCATGTTATCCTAGTGCTTCCTAAAAAAAAAAATAACAGTTTTACTGACGCATATACCATAAAATTCACTTAAAGTGTTCAATTCGGTGGTTTTTAGGATATTCACAGAGTTGTGCAGCTATCACCACTATCTAATTCAGAACATTTTCATCACCCCAAAAAGAAACCCCATACCTGTTAGAAGTCACTCCCCTTTCCTCTCAGCCCCTGGTAATCACTAATTCACTTTCTCTATGAAGTTGCCTATTATGGATATTTCATATAAATAGAATCATACAATTTCTGTGTCTGGCTTCTTCCACTCAGCATGTTTTCAAGATTCATCCCTGCTTTTGCATGTTATCAGTACTTTATTCTTTCTTATGGCTGAATAATATTGCATTACATGTATGTACCACATTGTGTTCATTCATTCACCCACTGATAAGACATGTAGGTTGTTTCTACCTTTAGGCTATGATGAATAGCACTGCTATGAACACTGGTAAGCAAGTATCTGTTAGAATCCCTGTTTTCAATTCTTTTGGGTATATACCAAGAAGTGGAATTGCTGGGTCTATAGTAATTCTATATTTAAGTTTTTGAGAAACCACCAAACTGTTTTTCACAGTGGCTCAACCATTGTACACTGGACAACACCAGCAATTGACAAGGGTTCTAATTTGTCCACATCCTAGTCAACACTTGTTATTCTCTATCTTTTTTTATGGTAGCTATCCTAGTTGGGTGGACTCCCTGGTGGTGTAGTGGTTAAGAGCTACAGCGCTAACCAAAAGGTCAGCAGTTTGAATGTACCAGGCGCTCCTTGAAAACTCTATGGGGCAGTTCTACTATGTCCTATAGGGTCGCTATGAGTCGGAATAGACTCGATGGCAACAGGTTTGGCTTTGGTTTTATCCTAGTTGGTGTGAAGTGGTATCTCATTGTGGTTTTGATTTACATTTCCCTAATGTCTAATAATGTTGAGCATATTTTCATGTGCTTATTGGCTTTTTTTATTTTTTATTTCTGGAGAAATGACCCTGTGTGCTTTTTCAGGTGACACACCGTATCAGCTATTAATTGGCTAGTAGCAATAAACCCTGCTTGACTGTCAGTCTTTCCTCTCATCCTACCTTGGATGCTCTATGGGGCAGTTCTACTCTGTCCTGTAGGGTTGCTATGAGTCAGAATCAACCATGGCAACGGGTTTGGTTTTTTTTTTTTCCTTTACTAGACAACTGGCACTTTCGTGATTACTTCCTCTGACAGAAGAAGCATAGTAGGACACGATCTCCTAGCTGGGCCCGATGGCTTATAATAACAGAAAGGGGATTGTGCAAATTCAGCACTGTTCACTGAGAATACTGAGGGAGTGAGAGACGACGACGCACCCCAGTGGTACACATAGGAAGAATGCCGAGTCCCCCTAAGGATGGGGCAAAGGGACAGTATGCAAAAGCCTGGGAGTGGACCTAGGCAGCTAGACCAACACACCACTAATGAGCTGTCCCCTTTAACGTCACATAGCGTCAAGTCACCAAGAATTTCACCTTGCAGCTAGTCTTGGCCTCTCATTCCTGATTCTACGAGAATGCCATTTGAAAAGGGCCATATCCTGGCAGGAAAGTTTCCAAAGCTCTCAGCTCACCCAGACTCTGCCTTCTTCTTTATCCGCAACCCTCCATGTGCTCATCCCACCCACACTACCAAGTTGTAGAGCTGAGATGACGTGCTCCCTCTAAAGTATTCTCTGTCATCCACAACCCACCAAATAACCTGTGCTTGCTCTTAGAGACTCAAGCTACGCACTATCATCTCCCTCTGGCAGCTGTTTCTAACCAGTCCAGCCTGGATGAAGAGCCATTTCTCTGTGCTCTGTACCCTGTGCTCCCATCCGGTTGTGCAAGTGCCACGCTGCTTTGTAATTAGTGCGTCCTTCCTTGACTAGAGTTTGCATTTGTTAACAGCAAGCTCTTTGTTTTTACAATGCCACACACAGTGGACAGGGCAGTGCCTGGGAATGATAGGGTTTCATTACTTTTTTTATGAATAAATTGTACCAAGTTGACTAAGCAAACTTGTAGCCAGTTTTACCTAAACTTTCTACCTATGGGGAGCAGGGAGAGGAACTAAAATTTGGTGAGTCCTATTAGGTGTCCAGTACCTTATACACATCACCCGTTGCCATCGAGTCAATTCCAACTGATAGCGACCCTACAGGACAGAGGAGAACTGCCCTACAGGGTTTCCAAGGAGTGGCTGGTGGATTCAAACTGCCGACCTTTTGGTTAGCAGCCAAGCTCTTAACTCAAGTAATTCTCACAACAATCCATTAAGGCAGGTGGCAGAGCTCCCATTTTGTAGATGAAAGCATTAAGGCCTTACTTTCCACATATAACTAGTAGAGTCAGAGTCTAAACTCAGGTCCATGTGATTCGAAGCCTTTGACCTTTCCATTCCAATAGGTGGCTTCCCCTCCTGGAACTCAGGGCCATATAAACTGGAGGAAAAAGGTTACTCTTACAGAACTGTTAGCTTAAAATCCCCCATAAATAAAAAACTCTATCTGTCCTGGAGGAATTTCTGGCTAGGAAACAAAGAGGGAAGGAGGAATCTGGGAAAAGAGATGTAGGAAGAAGAAGGTGATGAGCAAAAATCAGAGAATGCTTCCCCATTAATCTGAAAACGCCACTTGGCAGCTGGGGTCTTAAAAGCTTGCAAGTGGCCATCTAAGATGCATCAATTGGTCCCAACTACCTGGAGTAAAGGATAATAAAGGACACCAAAGACACAAGGAAAGTATTAGTCCAAGAGACAGAAAGGGCCACATAAACCAGAGACTTCATTAACCTGAGACCAGAAGAACTAGATGGTGCCCAGCTACCACCAATGACCACCCAGACAGGGAACACAACCGACAGTCCTGGATGGAGCAGGACAAAAGTAGGGTATAGAGCTCAAATTCGAGTTAAGAAGACCAGATTTAATGGTCTGAATGAGACTGGAGGAACCCCAGAAGGCATGGCCCCCAGATTCTCTATCAGCTCAGAACTAAAACAATTTCTGAGGCCAACTCTTCAGACAGGGATTGGACTGGCCTGTGGGACATAAAGTGATACCCGTGAGGAGAGTGCCTCTTAGCTCAATGGGGAGCTTCTGTCTGGAGGTGAGATGGGAAGGCAGAGAGGGCTAGGAGCTGGTTGAATGGACATGGGGAATCGGGTGGAAAGGAGGAGTGCGCAGTCACAGTATGGGGAGAGCAATTAGGGTCACGTAACAATGTATGTACACATTTTTGTATGGGAGACTAACTTGAAATGTAAACTTCATTTAAACTACGATGATTAAAAAAAAAAAACATCTGAAAGCGCCACCTGGGATATTTTGACCTCTAACTTGACCTCTTTGGTTGTCCCATGCCTAGGAAACTTCCTGAATGAGTACCCTAGATTCTCACAGCACTGTGATACCATAAGAAGAAAAAAAATAGAGAAGCTGTAGTACATAGGAAGGTGAACAAGAACACCTGGTTCTCATTATGATGAATAATAAGCAGTGCAACTGTGGCTAAGTCTAAGCCATTAAAATTCTCTTTAGACCCCATCTCCTCATTTCTAAACTGAAAGGACTAGTTGTGACAGTTTCTAAACCAGCTTTGCAATCTAACAACCACCGCAAGCCTGTGAAAAATACCGTGATCCCATCCTCATTTCAATTTAGTAGGTCGGGGGTGGGACTTAGCAATCACCGGTAATTCATAGGCTCAGCCAAGTTTGGGAACACCTGGGCGAGATCTTCTGGTGCCCTGGGGAGGAGACTGTGAAAAGACAGTCAGCTGATTTCAGCACATTAAGTCACGTAACTAAAGACCACTAAGAAATAGCAATTTTAATTCTATAACGCTTAATAATCCCTTCCTGCTTCAGGGCAAAGTGAATTAAATTCAGTCTTTCTTGATTGGTTAAACCTGCCTTTGTTCTACCAATGTTCTGCATTAAGAGTGCCAAAAGCTGAACTGGCAAGGAATGCAATCTTTTCTTTTTAATTGCCAGGGTTTCTCTGGAGGTATCGGCTGTCACAATCCTCTGGTTTCCTCTATTAGCTCCTCTGAGGATGAACTACCACCAGAAGATTTAAAGTGCAGGCAGCAGTCAGCCCAGGGAGACTGAATAACAACCCTACCTTGACGTCTAACTTGGCCAGGTGTTGTAAAACCCAGATCCGATGGGACCAGGCATTATAGTTGCTTGGGTATCTCCCCGCAGCTTCACCACAGACCTCCATCTCTTCTTGTATTAGTCGCTGTGTTCTTTCTGCAGGAATTGTTCCCAAGTTTCCTTTGGTCACAAAGGAAGGCAAGGAGGTTTCCTGAATTAGCTGTTGCAGCACCCATCGCCTGGTTAGGTGGCATCGGGGAAAGAGAATGAGGATAGGATATGAGCCACAGAGGAAAACAACCAGTTTTCTTTGATCTTAATTTTATCTCCATTCACAGACAATGCAAAGTAATACCTGTTTATAAACCCTTTAAGGGGTGTGGGGAGAAGGAGAGTTAGGGGCTTTTGTTTATTTGTTCTCAAAGGCATAATTAAAGTCAGCAGCATGAATAAAGGACAAAAAAGTGACAAACAGGAAAGAAAAATCTTCCTAAAACTTTAAAACTTGTCAAAAAAAAGAATGCCGTCAATTCCAAAATGATATCTCCAAGTTTGGCCAGGGCGAGTAGTAATTAATGTCTGGTGAATACTAGGCGTCATGGTTGACATCTTTAATTATGTGTGCGTGCCTCACCTTATCTCTACCTCCTCTATCAGAAGTGTATTTGTCTGTCTGCAAACAAGAAACTGCATTAGGACAGCTTTCATTAAGCAAAATTTCTATACTATTGCATAGAATCTGGAAGGAAACAAATACAATATAATTAGTTACACCATCAAGGAGGTTTCAGAATGTCTTTATCCACAGATTTCTCCCTTGTCTATTTAAGATTTGTATTAGCATACATTTAAATCAAAAGTACGAAGAAAATGTTTCTAACTACTTAGGTCTTCAATTTTTACGAATATTTTCTCACATGAAAGCATTTTTTTAGACTACAGATTTCCAAAGGCACACAGGAACTTGAATAAGAAAACTATTTTGTCATTTTTGAATAATGGAATTTATACTTAATAATAAAAGCTTGTTTTATAAAAAATTAAACAATAAATGGATGAATGCATATTTAACAGTTCTCACTCCCCCAGCACCCTTTTCCAAATCCCCCACACATACAGTCAAATACCTCTCTGAGGTCCACTATCTCAATTTCTAGTAAGGAAGAAAACACAACTATGTGGTTTGAAAGGAGCTGATTTGTCATGCTAGCTAGCCAAAGGCAAGATGATGACTAAGCTATACCTTGAACTAAAATAAGATCCTAAAACTGCCCAGGATTTGAGAAAAGTTAGTGTGGCTTGTAAACTGAGAACAATTGTCTTCAGAGTACTTCTCCAGTGTCATAGATTGAATTATGTCTCCCCAAAAATCTGTGTATCAATTTGGCTGGGCCATGATTCCTGGTATTGTATGATCTTCCTATATGTTGTAAATCCTGCCTCTATGATGTTAATGAGGGAGGATCGGTGGCAGTTGTGTTAGTAAGGCAGGACTAAATCTACCAGATTGGATTGTGTCCTGAGGCAATCTCTTGAGATATAAAAGAGAGAAGTAAGCAGAGTGACAAGGGGACCTCATACCATCAAGAAAGCAGTGCTGGGAGCAGAGTATGTCCTTTGGACCAGGGTCCCTGCGCTGAGAAGCTCCTAGTTTGGGAGAACACTGATGAGAAGGCCAACGGAGAGAGAAAGCATTCCTCTGGAGCTGACACCCTGAATTTGGACTTTTAGTCTACTTTACTGTAAGGGAATAAACTTCTCTTTGTTTAAAGCCATCCACGTGTGGTATTTCTGTTGTAGCAGCACTAGATGACTAAGACACCCAGTGACCACCACCAGCAAGGCCACACCGTCCCATTTTAGTCAAATGAAAGTAGCTACCTGAGGTTCGAGAGGAAGATGCTTCCAGATAACGAGGATTCTGAATGAGTCCTTAATGCGTTCTGACTCTGCCTCAGGCCTTTAACCTAAAAAATGTTCTTTTCATTTATGGTCTGAGCAACTTTAGCTCAGCCCGCACACTAATCACCTCAGCTGCCCCTGTCTTCCTCTGTAAGTTAATGTTAGGAACCACCACCACCATCTTTACCAGAAACACACTCTAATATATTTTAAAACCCAAGTTGCTCATTATAGTTGAATCTCTAAATGCAACCTCCACGACTGCTTCAGATAGTTAATAATAACTGCTAACATTTATTGAGTATTTAATACGTGCCAGGCACTGTGGTAGTTTTTGCATGCATCATTTTGTGTAAACTCCACCACTAACTATGCGATAGGTGTTATTATTATCCCCATTTTACACGTGAGGAAACTGAGGCTTGGAGAAGTCAAGTAATTTCCCAAGATCACACAGGTAGCAAGTTAAGGGCACAGATTTAAACACAGGTAACTGATATCAGGATTCATGCTCTGAATCACTAAGCAACCCTGCCTCAGATTCCAATGTTTATTTCTACAGCCATTCTCAATTCGAAGAACACTATGACATAAATTAGACACACCTGTGAATCCACGTTTCTGGACTTTTCGGAAACTTGGTTAAGGCCAGTTTTCCCAAATGTAAGTCCTTAATTGGATTTAAAGTGCCAGAGAGGATCAGCTCTTTCCTGTAAAAGAAAAATAAAAAGAACCATTACTCGACCCTTTTATTCAAACATCGTAAATGGCTACTAATGTAAACTCATTGTGAAATGAATTTCCAAGAATTAAAAATAAATTTAAAAAAACCCGAAGTCCAAATCACTATGGTATATAATAACACTATCATAAATGTCACACACCGTAATCAAGAGTGTAGTCTCATAATCTTGAAATAATAAATAAGCAGAAACAGAAGTTCTTAAATCAACAGTGAAACTTTAACTAGTTGGGAGAGGATAAAGGGGTTTTCTGGCCTGTCTCACTTTCAAAAATTACATGAACTGACATTACTATGTGTAAGACAGCTCCAACACCAGTCAAACATTGCTCTAGCTTCCTAAATAGGGCTTGGATATGATCTGGATCATCACAAAAAATATACATATACCAACACACTGTGTGAATGAGATATAAAGAAAAAAGCATTCATCAAATCACCACCCTAACAAAATTACTTTTTCTTTTAGAATTTTCCCTTCTACCTTTTGCCCATATGCACATATTTTTAACACACAATTTTATAGCTTGCTCTTATATCTTAAGAATTTCCCATGGTTTTATATAAATCTTTGTAATAAACATTTTAAAAGACAAGTTTTCATTCAGTGGCTATACTGTAATTTAATGACCTTTTCCCCTATTGCTAGACATTCAGGTTGCTTCCAAGTTTCTGCTATTCTAAAAGAACTTTGGGGGGGTGGGGGGAAGCTTCATGCTTATGACTTCTTTCTTTTGCACTATTACTTACGATAAATTTCCAAAAGAGGTATTACCAGGTGAAATACCTGCATGGTCCTGATATACTAAGCCATTCCTTTTTTGAAATATAAGCAGCAGAAGTAATACGTCAACAGCAACGTTGAGGGTTTTTACTGTTGTTGCTGTTTTTAAAACTGTTCAAACCCAGCCAAAGCTTCAGTGCAATTAAGAACATCATGCAACATCTCTCCATCAATTTCTCAGGTAAATACAATTTAGGTTTAAATTTAATTTCTCAGGTAACTTTTTTATAATAAGCTCTGATATTATGATTACACTCCTAATTAATTTTCAATGTATTTTATAAAAATAATAAAACTAAATAATTTACTAGTATTTTATTAATCTTAAGATGTCCTTCCTGTGGTAAGGATGCTGACTCAGTTATTTTAGAGACGTTTAGTGCTAACAAAACCAGAGTTCAGCTCTTGTAACTTACCTATTTAAGTGGATTTAGTTTCTAAATACTGCAGTACATTTTGTTTCCAACAACAATGTACTATCTTTAAATTTTTACTTGATGAGGAAAATAACTTACTTTTTAATTAAGATACTAAATAGTGATACACTTCCGTTTCATAATCATTTTTAGCTCAGTAACTTCATTCTAGAAAATAATTTGAGGTGATATGCACAAGGTTTATGGCAGCTTTAATGAAAGGATTTATGGACTATTTTCCTTTCAATGCACAAGAAACCTCTTTGTCAGTAACATTTTGTTCATACGATAAGTGGGCATATCTATGAGGTAAAAAGGAAGTAAAGATTGCTCTATGTAATTTTAACTACTTTGTAGAGCAATGTTATCAAAGTGGGGTCCCTGACCAGCAATATCAGCATCACCTGGAACTTGCAGAAACTCAGATTCTTGGGCTCACCCCAGAGGGACTGAATCAGAAACTATGGGGTGGGGCCCAGCCAGCTGTGTTTTAACAAGCCCTGTAGGTGATGCATACTACAGTTAAAAACAACTGCTGTAGATAATTTATTGAATAAAGCTTAATTATTCATTTGCTAAACTTAAGACACCTTCTTATTTACAAGTGTCTACCACTATCTCCATATACAAGGGGAGATATAAAAATTTTCTTCAGAAAAGATGAAGTCACCTTATAACTGAGTCTTTACAAAGTTTCTTAATTTATGGAGTGCTCTCTAAATTTCTTTATTTGAACAACAAAGTAGTATTTGGGGAAAACATCTTGGCCTGAAACAATCTCTGTCAATAGTATATATAGATACTTAACACTGGATAGAAAAAAGGAAGCAAAATTTTAATATCAATTTTAAAAAATTTCTAGAGCAGGACTGAAGGTTTGTAGGTGTTGGATATTTGTAAACAAGTCTTTTTAAAGATACTTTAATAAGAAATAAAATAGCTGGTTAAGTTATGGCAATCACATAACCTACAGATAAAAAATCAATTGCTCTAATGTATTCAAACAGGAATCTGTGCCTTGAGGTAAAGTTTCCAGTCAAAGATTCAAAAAGTGCTGTATATCAAATAACTTAGATATAAGTAAATATGATGTGCTCTGGTACACTGTGTTAGATAACTCAAAAAATGTCTTACGATGACAAAGTCACTGATGTCAACGTTTTGTTGAGGAATTTGAGTAAAATTTTTTCTTGAAATGTTTGACAGTGAGGAAATGAGGAGTTTATAAATTATTTCATGTTATTTTAAATATATGTTAGTAAACTGAAAAACAAATATTAGAGAAGACATTTACTTATTTTACACATCTCTTAACATTTATATACTGAAATAGCCTAAAAATATTTTTCTTTTTGGAAAAATGGGATATTGCCTTATATTTGAGGTGCTTATTTTCAGGCATACATGCTTCTCTATTCATGTTAAAAGCCTTAATTAAGTGGTACACTGCTAACAAAGGAAGAATGAATGAAACAAGGGTCATCAAATAAATGTGGGGAAAACTAAGAAAGAAAGAAAAAGGCATTTGTATTGTTTTGGGATTAGAGAGCAGGGTTGGCAAGGAATGGTTGCCGCTGAGTCAACTTTGACTCATGGCAACCCTGTGTGTGTCAGAGTAGAACTGTGTTCCACATGATTTTTTGGAAGCAGATCACCAGGTCTTTCTTCCGAGATACCTCTGGGTAGGCTCAACTCCAATCTTTCTGTTAGCAGCTGAGCACATTAACCATTTGCACCACCCAGGGCTTCCGGGTATAATCCAATACTATGCTATTTATGTTGTTGCTCGATTATTGGCCATTGGCTTCTGTGGCCTTTTGACATCGCCCCATCATACTGTTTTTAAGCACTTCCTTATGTGCTGGATCTACAAGACGCTCCAGGCTCATCTCATATATTTCCTGCCCCAATCCTACAATCATCCATTTCTCCAAGGAGCCTGGTTCTTTTAATTAGAGAATGGTATTAAAAACCAAGATCTAGGTTCTGGGAGTCATCATTTTTGACCTACAAAAACAATTTTATATGGTTCAACCTAACATTATCTCAATTTTACAGATGAGGAAACTTAGGTTTGGAGCAGTTAAGTAACTTGCTCAAGGTCTCTTGGCTCAAAGTTAAATCTGCATAAAATATGGTTACCAATTTAAATCAAAGGCTATCAGAAGACTGGCTAAAAAACATATTCTTATGTTTTTCTCCAAGATAGCAACCCCCCAAATTGAACTACGGATGAATTATGCCCCTGACCGTATTCCAGAGTTACTGCAGATGAAATTCATCAACAATTAAACGTAAGTTTTGAATATTTGATTTGCAGCAGACTTACAGGGCTAGATCACTTAACTTCCAAATTTGGTTTTATTTTCCTCAGAATGTACCTATGATTCTATGTATCAATCAATCTTACCAATACAAATAAAAATTTACTAGAACATATACCCACAATGGATTTTTTTTAAAACTAGAATTTCCTTTTTACTCATCTAGTATAAAATTTTACTAACCATCTTACAGGAATAATTTTCAAGGTTAACTGCTATTAACATAATTAAAGATTTATGAAGCAATTCGTCTTTACAAGAAGACCAAAACACACATAATCAAAAACAAAAACAAAAACCCAGTTTCAAAAGAATCATGAAAAACCTCCTAGTCCAAATCTTTTCTTTCACTGATCAAGAAACTAAAACTCTGAGAAGCTAAAAGTTTGCCTGAAGTTAACTGCTAGTTAACTGATGAAACAGAACTAAGTTTCATGGACCTTAAGACACCTACACTGAGCTTCCCTTATCGAATATCCAATAAATAAATAAATATATATGTATACATTATGCTACTAAGAGTCTTTTTTTTCACTGAAGAATTTCCAATTCCACTCTAATAATGAGGAATGTGTTAAGGTGAATAAAAATGGTACTCATACTTCCTTATTATTTTCATTTCTTTTTCACTGAGTTTGTTTTTATTATGTTCAATGCCCAGTCTACACACTGAATATTTATTATGTGCCAAGCACTACAGTGTCAGATGCTGGGGATACAAGAGGGAGTGTGTGTGTCGGGGAGGGGGTGGGGGTGGGGGGTGGGCGGGTACACGGTCCCTACCCTTTGGAAAGCTCTCAGTTGTTTTTACAGTACATTCCTTGTACTATAAACTTGTTGATTATTTTTCCTCATCTCCCCAGACTCCAGAACAGTGCTGTCTTACAGAGACATAATGCAAGTCAAAAATGTGACTCATATATGTAAATTTAAAATTTTTTAGCAGCAACATTAAAAACAAGTATACATATACTTAATTCAATATATCTAAAATATTGTAATTTCAGTAGGTAATAAATATAAACAATTATTAATGAGATATTTTTGCTTTTTTAAAATTTTTTTGGCACTTAGTCTTCAAAATCTAATGTGTAGTTTACACTTACAGCACATCTCAGCTGGGACTACTAACTACCTAGTGCTCAACAGCCATATGTGGCTCATGGCTTCTGTACTGGGTAGCACAACTCTAGAAACTGGAGTGCCCCAGTGCTCCATCTTTGGACTGGTTCTCTTCTCTAACACCCACTTCTTTGGGGATCTCAAGCAGTCTCAAGGCTTTAAATACCACCTACATGCTAATGATTCCCAAATTTATGTACCTGGCCCAGACCTCTTCCCTGAACTTCAGATTCCTATACAACTACTTGGACACAAACCTAACATGTCCCAAACTAAACTTTTGACCTCCAAGCAGGACCCCTCTAACCGCCTAAATCTGTTCCTCTTCTAGACATCCCCATTTCAGTAAACAGCAATGCCATCCTTCTAGTAGCTCAAGCCAAAAACCAGTGTCAAGTTTGACTCTCCTCTTTCTCTCATATTCATCATCTGTATGGTTATTCAGAATCTTACTACTTCTCCCCACTTCCACTGCCAAACTCTAAGTCATCAGCATCTCTCACCTAAATTATTGAAGCTACCTCCTAACTTCCTAACCACTCCCTGCTTCCCTACAGTTTATTCTCCATAGAGGAGCCAGAGCTTTTATTTAAAACCTAAGTAAGATACTGCCCTCCTCAGCTAAGGGACCAGCTTGAAAACATTAAACAACTTTCTATATCAACCAGGGTAAAAGTCAAAGCTCCTACAATGGCCTATAAAGATGAGATGTAGCCCATTACTCTCTGACCTCATCTCCTAGGACTCTCTCCCTTTTCACACTCCTCCAGTTACACTGACTTCCTTGCTATCCCCAAAGACCCAGGGACACTTCAGGATGCTCTCGACTGAGGGCTTTTCCATTTACTGTTCCCCTCTACCTGGAATGCTCTTAGTCCAGAATCCACAGGGATTGATCCTGCTGATCTCTGCTCAAATGTCCCCTATCTAAAACTGTAATTACCACTTTTCCCATCCTCCTTCTGGCCTTCCCTATTTCCCTTCCCCACTTTTTCTCCATAGGATTTAGTACCACTTGATCTACCATATATTTTACTTGTGGCCTTACTGTCTTTCTTCATGCAAGTTCCAAAGGAACACAGGGATTTTTGTTTGTTTTGTTCATGGCTATACTCCCAGTGCCTAGAACCTAGCATACAGTAATGAATAAATATTTGAATGGATGAATGAACAAATGCTGCCAAGTATTGTATAGACTAAAGAAATAACATATAAAGTTGCAGTACGGTCTCTGGCATATAGTAGACACTAATAAACATTAGTCTATTCCCTAGTAATTGTGGTGCTTTCCACAAGAGAATAGGAATTCTAAAATTAAGTAAAATTTTAAAGCCTTACATCTCATTTTATATTTATCTTACTTTTTACTCTAAATATCTGATCATTAATTATTCAAAGAAGGCCATTTTAAAGACATTAATAGAGTTTATCTAAGATTTTTAAATCAGTGACAAATACAAAATTCAGCAGGTATTATTAAAAACTAACTCAAAATGTAACCTTGCTTAAATTACAAAAAAAATTAGATAAAATATGTCATCTTTAAAGATAAAGAGCTATAATTTATGGTTCTTTCCTATAGGGAAATTTTAAAATTCATTTAGAATGTTCAACGAGACTTCACTTTCATTTATTTGTAATGTATATTCAGTTTTCCTCCAAGAAAATTTGTTAGTCTAAGGAACTACCAATTTGTTTAAACCTATACTATTATATTATTTAGCTTAAAACACTTCAACTAAAAAAATGAGCCTGGTATGAACTTCAATATCTCTATAAAGTATTTTGTGTATAAAAGCTACAAAAAATCAGAATCAAAGAACTTCAGAAATTAATAAAATGTGATCCCACTCCAAAACACTGAGTCTCAGAGGCTTCAAGTGCTTTGTCCCACAGAGGTCACAGAGTTAGTGACTACAATCTTGTGGCCCTGAATCCTCATCCTACACACTTTCCACTACAATGCAGTGCTTCTCAAATACACTAACCAATGCCTCTCAATGCAACCAAATGTGCTGAGTGCCCCTATCCTCCTAAAAAGGAAAAAAAATAAAAGCCATGTATCAAACAGTATACAGTAATTCAACATGACAATTTACATTTCAGGCAAGAAACTTTATGGAGAATGGACACAGGCATGCAAAAGGGGCAAAACTTATGTGTTAGAGTGAGTATTATAAAAAATGGGTTGAAAAATAAGTGTAAGATGCCATGAATTATGGTTTATATTTCATTTTTAAAAAGCTAACAACTCACGGGGCTTATGTCTTCAGAATTTGTTTAAAATTCATCTTTTCATGGATGAAGAGTGACATACCTCACGTTCCATGCAGTGGTAAAGTCTGGGTTTAGAAGCAGCAGGGTGCATGTGACATCTATCAATTCTAAAAGAAAGAGAAGTCATATTAAAACCAAATAGTCCTACCGTTTAGAGCCTGGCTTCTCTTTCTTTTAAGGTCCTCCTTACTTCTTATACGTATATATGTGTGTGTATATATATTATACATATATATCTCATACTAATGTAACTTATGTTATATTAACTTTAATGATAGCTACACTGCTCTAAGCTATCAGGGGCATGAGGATTATCCTTAAGATTTTCTTCTACCAAAGATAAGTATACTTTTTTAAAAAGTCAACAGTGAAACAACTTTACAGCATTAAAAAAATCAACAGAGGAAAAAAAACACCTCATAATCCAACCTTCTTAACACAATTCATTTACATACCCTTGCAAACATCCTTTCTAACACATTTTTGCACAGCTAAAGTGATAATAAATGTACGATTTTGTTCTATCTTTCCATTCAATGTTATTTCACATGCATTCTCCTATACTGCTACAGTATGCATTTTTAACAGCTGTATAACAATTCCTTAATTTAATATATTATCATTTATCTTCTTCTGCAGGCTATTTCCTGTTTGTTTTTATATAAAATAATGTTGCTACAAACATTTTTAAACACACTTTTGGTCTGATAGTTATTTTCTTAAGATATATTTCCAGGAGAGAAACTACTATGTCAAAACAATAGAAACGTTAGTATTAATATAGCTCCTAGGAAGTATTTACACATTGTCCTCCAAATGGACAGCATCTATGTATACTGTCAAGATTAACAAGAATGTACTTATATCTCTGTAATTCTGGCCTATATAAATTTAATTTAAAAAATGAATGTGGCGGACATAAAATGATACTTTGCTACTGTTTTAATTCTTTAATCTATGTTTATTAATACAAACACTTCCATCTTTGTTTACTATTTATAGTTCATTTTATGAAGTCTATTCATGTTCACAGTAAATACCTGGGACATTCTGAGTGTTTGATAAACTTTTTAGAATACACACACAAATACATCCCTATACTCATTTTTAAATATTCTAGTTAATAAGAAAATCAATTACTCCATTTCAACCATCTTAATAAAAGGGATTAACATTTATTGTGAGCCTATGATTTCATTACCACTGAGTATACTGAAATATTCATTAAACGAGCAACAAACAGTAGCATCAGCACACATTTATTTGTCCTCTATCCTCCCCATTACAAGCCATTACATACAGACACATGATATCCTTATGAAGAATTATCTAATTAACCTCTTCATTCTTTCACTTTTAGTAGTTTTTGGCACTAATTTAATATTTACCAAGGAAAAGAAATATAATTTTCTGTATTATTATTCATTCAATTCCACAAATATTCCAGGTATTGACTATGTGCAAAACATTAAACTGGGCCCTTAAGGCTAAGGGAATGGATACAGTGATAATTAAGACCAGATCTTGCCCTCCAGAAGGCAAAAGACAGTTAGAGAGAGACATATAAATAAGTAATTATATACAGCAAAATGAAATAATTGTGAAATAGAAGCATACACCACAAGATGGGTGTCACGGATTGAACTGTGTTCCCCAAAAATGTGTGTCAACTTGACTAGGACATGATTCTCAGTATTGTGTGATTGTCCACTATTCTGTCATCTGATGTGATTATCTTATGTGTTGTAAATTCTACTTCTATGATGTTAATGAGGCAGGATTAGAGGCAGTTGTGTTAATGAAGCAGGACTCAATCTACAAGACAAGGTTGTATCTTAAGCCAATCTCTTCTGAGATATAAAAGAGAGAATCAAGGACATGGGGGACCTTATACCACCAAGAGAGTAGAGCCAGGAGCACGGACCTTTGGACCCAGGGTCTCTGCACTGAGAAGCTCAAGAGCAGGGGAAGAATGATGGTAAGAACCTTGCCCCAGAGCCAACACAGAGAGAAAGACTTCCCCTGGAGCTGGCACCCTGAATTCGGATTTCTAGCCTCCTAGACTGTGAGAGAATAAATTTCTCTTTGTTAAAGACATTCACTTGTGGTATTTCTGTTACAGCAGCACTAGATAACTAAGAGAATGGGGATCACCAAAGAAGTTGCAATTAATTCTTCCTGGGGTAGCAAGAATTCGGCTGCTAACCAAAAGGTCAGCAGCTTGAATCCACCAGGAGCTCCTTGGAAACCCTATGGGGCAGTTCTACTCTCGTACAGGGTCGCGATGAGTCAGAATCGACTCTACAGCAACGGGTTTGTTTTTTTTGGTTTTGGTGTGGTAGTGAGGAAAGACTAGATGAAGAAGGTGGTTAAACAGCACTGCAAACTGGAAAAATAATGAGCAAAGGTAAACAGGCATGGAACTTCACAGTGAGCTGTCCAAGAGATTATGGATAAGAGTGTAACTAGAGCAAAAGGTGCTGGAGAAATGTACCAGGAAACCAGGCCTTCTAGAACCTGGTCCCAGTCTCCTTGTCAGCCTGGCCTTCCACTACTTCTCTTCACATGCTATGCTTCACCTGAGCCAGACTCTGACATTCTCTGAACACACCTATCTGCCTGCCCCTTCATGTCGCTGAACACACCTCATATTTACCTGCCTGCCATTCTCTCTGTCAGGAATCTTTCCCAATGAAAGCTTTCCTGATCTACTCAGCTGGAAGAAATCTTTCATCTCTATGTTTTGTGTATACTTACTTTCCTCTTATCCACTTTGTATAAATATTATCCCCTTAATCAGACAGTAAATTTCCTGAAGGCGGATACTGTCTTATACATCTTAAAATTACTCACTCACTCAACCAAATTTCTAAGCATCGACAAGCCAAGTACCAAGCCAGATAAAGATGAGGAAGATATGGCCCTTGTCCAAAGGAAGCACCACATCTGCTCACAGCATAGAGGAGTGGTAAGAACACAGGCCTTAAAGCCAAACTGCCTAACTACCTACATAACTCAAGCCTCTCCACTAACTAAATAACTTAATCTCTCTGAACCTCAGTCCTTATCTGTGAAATGAGGAAAATAACATCAGTCTCATAGGGTTGTGAACAATGAAATTCTACTTTTCTGTATCTGTCTGACACATCATGAGTACTCAGTAAATATTTATTCAACTAAACACTATTGCTACTTATCAACCAAGAAACAAATATTTTCAATTAATCAAAGAAGTTAGAAATAATGAGGCAGCTGTTCCTACAGTGAAACTGTCTAAATTTTTTAAATAGGCAACAACAATAACAAAAACTACATGGTAGTCAATGGTAGCTGTATGGAAAGATTTATGCCTTGTGGGAAAGCCTTTGGAATTTCTTTTGAAGTTTACAATCTTCCAAAGCCATCACAGCACCCAGGTACACTGGTATTTAGTCCCTTGGGCTCTACCTTTCTGTATTAAAGAAAATGTATGTGATCAACGGCAGTAGTTGCTATTTGTCTGCACTTCTAATGCAACTTTTCTTCTCCTGCAAAAAGTGAACACAAATTCATGCTCCATGAGAGACTCTTGTACAGCAGCATAAGGCAAAAAACCAAGAAATAAACACAATATATGACTCCTCACCTTCTACTTTGTGGCTATGTAAAGACAGAGGAAAGCTGATCAAAGTAACACTTCTTTTAATGGTGTCCCCCCAAGGAGGGCAACGGCAGCGGCTGGGTTTAGAGCCCAGCTCCACTACCTGCTGGGAGTTCTTGGGCAAGTCACTTAATGTCTCTGGGCCTTAGTGTCTTCCTCATATGTAAAAATGAAGCTAATAATAGTACTACCTTATAAAGTGTCAGAACAGTAACTGACACACTGTAAGCACTCGGTGATAATTGCTGCTATAAAGCCTGTATCTCCTAACCTTGTTCCACAAATGATACTGGGATCGGATGCTGCAGAGGGAGAAAAAGAAATCTTCTAAGCTGGCTGAGCAGTGACCGCTGAGCAGTGGGACACTACTCAGCTTCTAAGAATCTCAGGATAGCGTACCAACAGTGGTGCTAGTAACACACACAATCACAGTCTAGGGGAACTTCTAAAAGGTGACCCTGTCTCTGGCTTCTGCATGTTACATTTCTCAGCCTGGAAGACCCTTCTCCCCTCCTCCTTGACCAACTGCTTTCTGATTCAGGACTCAGGCTCAGATGAGACCTTCTGTAGGAAGCCTTCCTTGAGCCCTCCAATAAGATTTCCCCCCACCCTTCACTTTCCTAGCTCCCTGTGTTTACCCCAATCAAATCACCCATCACAACCCACTGTGATCACCTATTTGAGCAGTCAGCTCAAGGGTAGGGCTACTGGCCACTCTATCTTCAGTGGCGCGCCTGGCACATAGCAGACACTCAATAAATAGTCACTGGAGAGATGAGCAGTTAGAGGTAGTACCATTGAACCAATGACCTGCTTTATGTTGGATGGTTGCCTGATTTTTGCACATGACAGTAAAATGCAGCTGGTTTATACAACTAAAAGTCCAACTATGGCTTTATACAGAGAGAAGGGAAATCGAATAGTATTTTGATTTTCTTTAAGGACTGTTGTCCTATTTTCAAAAATAATTTAAGGTAATTAAAAGCAACCTGCCAAAGGAGGACATATAAGCACTAAAACCTATGCTTTTCAGTAATATTCAGCCTTTGTCATTCTCTGAGGATGAGGCTATCATGTTGTTGTCCCATCCCGCCCCCTCACCCAAATTTCAAGTTTTCTCACAAAACCAAATAATGTCCTTGCCAGATCTTTCTGAATGAGTCATTAGCAGTTAAATTCTATCCTCCTGGGCTTTGGAGAAGATTAAGTAAGATCTTTCAAGGTGCATCAAATAACAACAAACATGTTCTGCTATATTAAAAATAGCAGCAACAGCACTCAAAGAACCCCAACCTAGTATAAGTTATCGTAACATTTTCATAGTATATATTACAATAAAGAAATCCAGATCTTATTTTTATTACTCTACAAAGGTTTTTTATATTGTCATTTATTGTCTTCAAAATTCCTTTCTATTAATTTGGCAAAAGTTCTAGACCTACTGAAAAAATTTGCTCTGAACACAAG